CGCCCGCTCCCCCCCCCCCCCCCCCCCCCCCCCACGGTAATCGCATATTCCCAAATCGTAAAAGCCAGGAATCGCAGGAATCGAGTCCGAAACCAATTACTTTCTACTGACATGATTTCTTCCAAGGGGTAGGCCTACTTGATATCTGCCTCTGGACAATTTAATGGATAACAGTTACTTTCGCGAGTAGTGAGTATTTTCATTGAGTCCGACCCCATCGACAATTACTTGATTACTTCCAGCGAGCAGTGATTACTTCCAAAGATATTATTATATACTATCTTTGTTACTTCTGGCCAGTCCGTGATTACTTCCGATGAGTCTGACACCTACTAGTCATATCAGTTACCTGGTCGGATTCGTACGGATTCGGGATCCAAGATAACATCGGTTTCGGAACACGGTGAGGCACCCACAATAAATTCTAAAAAATACTTCAGTAAAAAAACACAACAAAAACAACTATGTACTTTCATAAATTAACCGTTCGTTTACGTGAAAAAGGAACCGTGACTCCTTTCAATTCAGGAGCATCAACATAAATCGTCCGGGAATCGATTCTTCGCCCAGCTCTAGCTCACACAATATGTGAGGCAGCGTGGTGGAATCAGGCTCTCGTCAAAATAATCAAAGTGAAGAAACTTGCATTTTTTCGCAGGTTTGTGAATTTGTATCAAATTTGATTTTTTTTTGGCTTAACACTTTTCCTGCATATTAAAAAACTAATTTATGTGGGGATTTTTCTGAAAAACGTTGATTAAAGGCACAAAATAGGTAAATTTTCTGTTACCATGGACTCTTAAGCTAAGTAAATAACTAATCTTTGGCGACCATTTTCTCACTAATTTTACCTCTGAAAACAGGTGACCCCCACCTCCATCTTTAGCAAATATCTCGACTTGCATTCAAGATAAATGGCTAATTTTTTCATCCAAATAAAGACAAGTGCACAAGCTTTAAGATGATACCAATAACTCTACATGCCCAAAAATTGACGAGAGCCTGATTCCACCACGGTGCCTCACATATCATTATAATAATAACACACACTGTCCAGTGCCAATACCCAACTCCATCCAATGCGATCCGATTTTATTATTTGTTTTACCAGTGAGCCTCCGTTTTCAGGATGTCATTGTCTGTCAATCAGTACAGCAAGGTCACGTAAGTCGCAGTCTCGATTTGGTCATGTAGTAACAATTTCTGCTATGTGCAGTTAAGTAAAATTAAGAGATCATGATTTTCTATGAGACGCAGATATAGCTCGCAAAACCGAATTTCTATGTGCCTTCAGTTCGCAATAATGTAGTGGATGTAGAAATCACAAAAAGCTAATTAAAGATACTGCGCCATCCCACCCCACAAACACACACACTAAGCCAGCTGTCGCCTGAGAAAATGTTTGACGTCAAATAGATTTGTATCGATCTCGAAGATGTTTGCTTGCTTACGGTATCATTGCACTTTCAAGACGTCCCCTGGCAACGGGCCATTTAGTTGGTGGTTGGCGTGTGCTCTGGTGTGGTTTGCTTCTTCTTTTCTATCAAGTATGTGCGTTTGTTACTCTCTTGTAACACCTCTAATCTTCAGAACTTATATAATGTCCTTGTGTTGCGAGTGCCGTAAAATTCATTCTCACTAAAGCGAAACTATAAACAAACCATTTCTAAATGCCTCTCTCCACATAAGTATGCTCTGACAATCAGTTTTAAATAAAATGATTTTGAATTCGAAAGATTGGCAAATCGGTACCTTAGAATTACAAGGTTCTATCTGACATTTTTGGCCGTTTTGAGTTACTAAGACCACAAGGTTAGAAACCAAATGTTCTATCTGCTTTATCACAATCGTAAAATAATTCTGAGTCTTTATCAAGATGTTCAAGGAATTGCGTTAAAAACCACCCCCAACAACTTCGAATTTCACAGGCACTCTCTGTATCTCCTCCTTTCTTGAATATGTTAGTAAAACTTCTATTCTTCGGCACTTATACAACCTAGTTGGGTTGCAAGAGCTGTAAAAATAAAAACAAGTTAAAGTCTACGAAGGCTCGGAGAACCTCGATTCTTAAAGGGACAGGCAATCATTAAAAAAAAAAAGTCTCTACTTCAACAGATTTTAACAACAATGTATGCAGGCCTTTACAGAACAATACATACACTGACAAGACCTCTAGACTAGGTTTATTAATCGGACTACTTTATAAATTCAACAATCTTTTTTTCCTATAAAAATTATTGAATAAAATATTCATGCGCTCAGTCTAATATGGACTCTATGGCCCCCACACCCAAAAAATTTTTAAAAAGAAATTACAAAATTAAATTAGTTTAAAAAAATTACCCCCCAAAAAGTTTATAAAAAATATTAATATTAATATCAAATTACATAAATAAATCAACAGAATTCAACAACAACAACAATGATAATAAAGTACTTACTTCCGGTAGCACACTACCCCAGCGATGATAAGAGCCACAAGGCACAAGGACACGATCACAGCCACCGCCACCTTCCCGCCGGAAGGCATTCCACCATCGTCGTCATTTTTGGACTTATCAGCCGTTGGCTCGGCCGAAGTCGTCAGCGAAGCTGTGGGCACTACAAGATCAGAAGACGCCGGCGATGGCGACAAAGTGCTTGACGCTTGCATTGGCTCCATGGTGAGATCCATTGACAACGTTGTGAGGACACTTTCAGACGGCGTTGCGGAAAGCGAGCCAACATCGTCCGGAACAACAGTTGAGTTACTCCCGCTGACCTCCATAACGCTGGAGTTGAAAATCACTTCAGAGGCAGCCGAAAAAATGCTTCCGCTTGCGATGGTGCCGGAAGTGGGCTCGACAGCAAGGACGGTGACGCTCTGAGAGGCCTCCTCCAGGGATGGTGTCGCTGCGTCCAACAGAGATGAAGGGACGACAGGCAGATCAGGCAAAACAGTTGCCTGTGAGACGTTCTCGCTAGCCAGGGGCGGAGCAACGAAACTCGACCCCATAATGGACGAAACTGATTCCTTAAATTGATCGTCGGAGGAGGGAAACACCGTCTTGGTTGGAGATATTTCTACAGTCGCACCGGCATCACCGGGCATTACGGCTGATGATGAGGCCACCTGTGACGACGACGGGCCTTTCATGACGACTGAAGAAGAGTCAAGCCTGCTGGTCCCGGACTCCATAATGGAACTTGAAGGTTGGATACCCAGAGAGCTATGTGCTGCATCAGATGGCTGTACAGCGGATGTTTCCTGGAAGCAGTACACGTTTGTTTTGTTGTTTTATTAAGAGTTTTGAGGCACTTGCAACACAATAAGGTCATACAGGTACCGAAGTTTAGGCGTGAAAAAGAGTAACAAACACATAAATAAAAAGAAGGAGAGAAAACGATGATGAAGTTTGAAAGGGAAAATGAGCAAAACACACCACAGCACCCGCCAACCACCCACATAGTACACGTTTGTTTGTGAAGTGAAGCACATCGAGACAATAACGGTAACCTCGTGCAGGGGACTAAGCAAGACAGATAGACAAACAAACAACAGACAGATAGACAGACAGACAGACAGACAGACAGACAGACAGACAGACAGACAGACAGACAGACAGACAGA